AGTCCCCAAATGAAGTAATTCACTTTTTCTTTTTTACTATAAGGAACTGAGCATATAGAACGTCATGTTTCAAGCTAGTGTTCCATAAGGTAGGGTCCTTGGACAGCTTCGGCATCAATCAAAGGCAGGTTAGAGATGAGATTCTCAGATTCCACCCAGAACTACTGAATCAGAATCTCTACGAGTAGGACCCTGGGGTCTGCATATTTGCTAGTCCTTTACTGGAATAGTGTAACATTGGCTTTTTAAATCTGTAGAAGGATCAGCCTTTAATTCAGCAAAATTAGAAGGTTCACAGCCGGATTCTTGACCTAAATCTTTCTTTCTATTGGCTATACTCTTAACTTTTATGCCTTAGAAGCAATAACTCTTTGCTAGAATGATGGCTATCTTTCTCAGTAGGGATAACATTGAATTTGTTTGCATGATTTTATAAAATAAAATTTGTTGAGATGGCTTTATCTACTTATATGATATACCTTTATATTGATGTACTGATTTTTTTTGTTGTTATTTAAAATGGAATTTCCCTTAAAAATAGTTTTTGGCTTTCTTTTTTCTTGAGACATAATTCACATACCACAAAACTCATCATTTTAAAGTGTGCACCACAGTGATTTTTAATATATTCACAAAGTTGTGCAATCCTCACTACTATCTAATTTCAGGATTTTCTCATCATCACATAAAGAAATACTACCCATTGGCATCATTCCACATTCTTCCCCCCCAGTTCCTAACACCCATTAATCTACTTACTTTCTTTATGGACCTTCCTATTCTGGCCATTTCTTTTCTTTTCTTTCTTTCTTTCTTTTTTTTTTTTTTTAAGAGACAGAGTTTTACTTTATTGCCCTTAGTAGAGTGCCAGATGATTTTCTTGCCTCAGCCTCCTGAGTAACTGAGACTACAGGCATCTGACACAAGGCCCAGCTATTTTTTTTTGGCCGGGGCCAGGTTCAAACCCACCACCCGTGGTATATGGGGCTGGCATCCTATCTACTGAGTTATAGATGCCGCCCCTATTCTGGCCATTTCACATAAATGGAATCATACAATATGTGGCTTTTTTGGGGGGGGGGTGTCTGGCTTCTTACACTTAGTATAATGTTGAAAGGTACATTCATGTTATAGAATGTTATGTAGAATGTTATATTCATGTTATATCACTACTTAATCTTTTTAATAGTTGAATATATTGCACTGCATAGATATACCACATTTTGTTCACTCATAAGTTGACATTCAAATTGGTTTCACATTTTTGGCTATTATGGGTAATGCTGCTATGAACATTAATTTACAAGTTTTTGTGTAGATGTATATTTTCACATTTCCTGAGTATATATCTAGACAGAATTTTTCACTTATGTGGTAACTGTGTCTAACTTTTTGAAGAATTGCTAAACTGTTTTCCAAAGTAACTATACCATTTTATATTTCTGCCAGCAGTGTATGAAGAAAATAATTTTTTCTATTTCCTTTTTTTTT